GAGGAAACAGATGCCTGAGCCACCTCAGCTGGCTCCTCTCAATGTGACCGAGCTCCTCACCTTATCTCCAAGGGTGAGCCGAAGCCACCCTGCGGAGAAATCTCATTTCGGCCACCTGTATCCAGGATCTTGCCCTTCCGGCCATGACCCAAAGCTCATGACCATAAGTGAGAGTAGGAACGTAGATCGACCAGTAAATCAAGAGCTTCACCTTACAGCTCAGCTCCTTCTTCTCCACAACAAACTGGTACATCGACCACATTACTGCAGAAGCTGCACCGATCTGCCTGTCAATCTCCCATTCCATCTTTCCCTGACTTGTGAACAAGACACAAAGATACTTGAACTCTTCCATTTGAGGCAGGAACTCTCCACCAACCTGAAGGGAACAAACCACCCTTTTCTGACTGAGAACCATTGCCTCGGACTTCGAGGTGCTGATTCTCATTCCAGCCACTTCACACTCGGCTGCAAAATGTCCCAGTGCACACTGAAGGTCCTGGTTTGATGGAGCCAACAGGACAATGTCAGCTGCAAAAAGCAGAGACAAAATCCTGTGGTCCCCAAACTGGACTCCCTCTGGCCCCTGGCTGCACCTAGAAATTCTGTCCATAAAGATAATGAACAGAACCGGTGACAAAGGGCAGCCCTGCCGCTCCGGTCGTACAGGAACCAGACAGCCCTTAACAGAGAGCCCCAGACCCCATAGTCCCGGAGCACCCCCCACAGGGCGCCGCGGGGGACACGGTCAAATGCCTTCTCCAAATCCACAAAACACATGTGGACTCATTGGGCAAACTCCCATGAACCCTCCACCACCCTGAATAGGGTATAGAGCTGGTCCAGTGTTCTATGGCCAGTAGGAAAACCACATTGTTCCTCCTGAATCTGAGGTTCGACCATCGGTCAAATTCTCCTTTCCAGTACCCTGGCATAGACTTTCCAGGGGACGCTGAGGAGTGTGATCCCCCTGTAGCTGGAACACATCCTCCAGTCCCCCTTGTTAAAAAGAGGGACCACCACCCCGCTCTACCAGTCCAGAGGCACTGTCCCCAACCACCATACAATGTTGCAGAGTCGTGTTCATTATGGACAAACTGTGACTAGCACAAAAGTCCAGTACCGTACTTTCCGGACTATAAGCCACTACTTTTGTCGCTTCGTGCACGTGGAAAACACATGACAACATGCATATGATGCAGCTTTCAAGTTACAGGCGATCAATCTGGCTGTTGACATATCTCGTGTTACAGCAAGGACACCCGCAGCTATGTACAAACTATTTTTTTGTCTCAAATTTAGGAGGTGCATCTTATAGTCCGGAAAATACGGTAATAGAACACCACTCGGGTTCAGATCGGGGGGGCCGTTCCTCCCAATCACACCCCTCCAGGTGTCACTTTCGTTGCCCATGTGAGCGTTGAAAACCCCCAGTAGAACAACAGAGTCCCCAGTCAGGGTGCTTAACAGCACCCCTCCCTGACGATCCAAGAAGGCCAAGTACTCTACACTGCTATTCAGCCCATAGGCACAAACAGCAGTGAGAGACCTATCCCAAACCCAAAGGTGCAGGGAAATGACCCTCTTGTTCACCGGGGTAAACTCCAACACATTGTGGCTAAGCTGGGTGTTATAAGCAAGCCCACACCAGTCCGCTGTCTCTCACCACGGGCAACTCCAGAGTAGTGGAGAGTCCAGCCTCTCTCAAAGAGTGTGGTTCCAGAGCCCAAGCTGTGTGTAGAGGCGAGCCCGACTATCTCTAGGCAGCACCTCTCAACCTCCTGCACAAGCTCAGACTCCTTCCCCACCAGTGAGGTGACATTCCACGTCCCCAGGGCTAGTCTCTGTGTCCAGAGATCGGGTCGTTGGGGCCCCTGCCTTTGACCACTGCCCAATCCACATGTATGTAAAATGATAAAACTACCAGTGTGACATCTGCTGTCAACTTGTGCACAAAACATATATATGGTTTACATTCAAATAGCCATGAGGGGTCTGTACTCTATACATGTAGGCCAATCGTAAGAACACGTCCAATGTAGTATTACTGCAGTTCATTTGCCGAGTACAATATTATCATTACTGATAGAAATAATAGCCAAAACCATTTACTGTCATATTTTTACAACTACAGTTGCAGTATATCACAAATTATTCTTGAATACAGAAAGGCCAGCAGTTAGTCACATCCAAGATGTGTTAGCTGTTCAAGCTGTCAGTCAGAAAAAGATTCAGATACACACTGGTGTGAGATTATGTGAGATAGAAGCAGACAATACACTATAAAAATAACAAAATTGAAAAATGCAGACCATTCTAAAATAAAATAAGTTCAATTCAATTTCAATTCATTTGTATAGCACCAAATCACAGCTAAAACAATCATCTCTAGGCACTTTACAGTATGGTCTGGACATTAAGGGTAAGGGTAAGAATAAGACTTACAGTATTATAGAGCAACTGAACTCATCCCTTGTGAGTAAGCACTTGGCAATCGTGAGGAGGAAAAACTCCCTTTAACAGATGTTGTCTCTGCTAATCAGACCAGGTTTTTCCCAAAATGTTTTCCAATTGTCTGTGAAGACCTACAACATTTGCTGAATGCCACCTAGACAGCCAGCATGATGACATGTGGCTGTACATGTCATAACTGGTGAGATTAAGTAGGGGTCCATAGTAACCTACAGAGTCCAGCAGAGTCCAACTCAACATTATTTTTAGTGACCTCTGATTGGCATAAGTGGAAGTCATTATCGCCAATGCGAATAACAGTTTTATTATAGTTACAGTGAGGAACAGAAGTATTTGAACACCCTGCGATTTTGCAAGTTCTCCCACTTAGAAATCATGGAGGGGTCTGAAATTCACATTGTAGGTGCATTCCCACTCTGAGAGACAGAATTTTTTAAAAAAAGTGCAGGAAATCACATTGTATGATTTTTAAAGAATTTATTTGTCTTGCACTGCTGAACATAAGTATTTGAACACCTGAGAAAATCAGTGTTAATATTTGGTACAGAAACCTTTGTTTGCAATTACAGAGGTCAAACGTTTCCTGTAGTTCTTGACCAGGTTTGCACACACTGCAACAGGGATTTTGGCCCACTCCTCCACACAGATCTCCTCTAGATCTGTCAGGTTTCGGGGCTGTCGCTGAGCAAC